TACACCACTACAATCTAAGCAAAAGAAATATATTAGCGTATTTAGTGACACAAAAACTGAGTATTTCAAAGATTGGGGCCCTTGCTCCACCATTAACACTTTTGATTTGAAAAACATTCTGGGACACCCTACTGCCCAAAGTCCACACCACGACCACTTCATATCGGTTTGACTGGAAATAACTAAAACATTAATTTAATGGGTCATTAATGAATTTCAATTGGAAATAATAATTTTAAAATAATAAGTAATATTTCCTCTTTTTTTCATTTTCATCCATTCTTGACAGTTTGTTGCATTTATTTAATATATTTGGCATCTTCCATACTTAATATCCAGTCTTTTCATATTTACAGTTGACCTGGCATTAATCTGGGTCTATTCATTTATTACAGATTCACAATAAAACGTGGCCTTTGAGAGCACAGTTGTATTTATTTTAACGCAAGTGATTAACATCTGTGAATTTTCAAAACGCCTGACGTATAAAAACTATGGTAACACAACGGTGTTCAGGTTTTTCTGAATGAAACTAAAACCGTAAAACTCAAAATCTAAACACTGGTAAATAAGATCTCCACAGTGCAGTAAAAGAAAAATAACTAAATAAAAGTTTGAGTAAAATGAGACCATCTTTAGAACAGTTACAATAATACAGTTAACAATGCCCATGAACGTCACATTTCTCCTGTTGAACATTGATGTGTCATTAAAAAAGATCATTTATGTGTCTGCTAAAAACACAGTGAAGTGATGGAAATTACACAGTCTCCTCATATTTGACATATTCAGAAAAAGGGAAAACAGTCCTCCGTTTTCTTTGTCATGTTTTGGTTTCACTCATTTCTTCTGCACTTGAGCGTAGACACACTCTGCCCCATCACATGTCTGTGTTAAGCTGTTTGGAGTCTTGCACACTTTGACCTGTGAATACACCAAATCCTGCTGCTGTGTGCTCTCCTGCACTGTGTCTAAAGAAGGTCTCTGCTTGGAGAAGTCAATCTCTCCATAATGGACGTCTTCATTTTCTGCTGTTCTGGCTGCTTCTTGTAGAGACAGACTGTGAAATCAAATACACCAAACTTGAGATATAATGAAGAAACGTTTCTTGAAAAATTGCTGATGATATAATGAGACGACACTAAGAAACAAATATGCTTTTGAAAACAGCCACAGCAAGCCTGTCTTTTTTTAAGTGCAGTAACTACAATCATGTTCACAACAAAAAGTTAGTTTTCCTACCCATGTCTGATGTGAAGGTCGATGTGCTGATTTTTGTTGCCTATAAAAAATATAGACGCTCTCTTAAATTTTCAGAAGTATACAAAAAACTCCAAAGGAATCTGCCTGAAACATTTTCTACAAGTTTAGTTATGTTGATTTGACAAGTGTGGAATTAACTACATAACTTAGACACTCACAGGGGAAAAACGATAATTTTTCAGACACTCAGGAAGAATGAATTAACATAACATCTTGTCATGTGGCAGCTGTGTGGAAGCACGAACACGAACCCAAGTGCAGGACTTCAGAGAATAAAGTGAACTGAACGACACCTTTATTGCTGGAATTCATATACCTGAGAACAAAGTACAAAACTATAATGCAGCATGGCTCGGACCAGGAACTAAAACTAGAAACTAGACAAGGGAACTTGAACACAAATCACGCAACATGTAAAAAAAAATAGTCGAAAATGTGACAAAGAACAGAGTCTCAAGAATCTGAAAATATCTACACAATCAAGGCAGAGAGGACACATCTGGGGAACACACGAAATTAAGAAAACTGAGAAGAAATGAAATATTTTCACATTAATTTGAGAGTCTTACCAAAACACAAAAACCATAATGGGAGTATGATGAGCCCACTGATCCCACCTACAGAAGCCCACCATGATGAAGGCTGTTCTGTTACTACAGATATAAAAAGTAACAAGTGAAAAAAAACATTTTTATTAAATATCATGTTTGTCACTGTGTTGAGGCTCATCTAAAGTAGCTTATGAGGTTCAGGGTGCTGTATCTGTTTGAATCTACTTACCATTAACCAAAGTTGGTTTCACTGTCAGATCAATTCCTGATTTCAAAAAAATAAATATGCAGAAGATCATGTGCAATAATGTATTATTAGCACTTTGTTTCTACTTTCTCTGTTTGCACTGGAATTTTAGAAGGACACCATTAAGCTCTTACAACCTGTTTGCAATGCTCTTATTTCTGTGAATATGTTTATTCTCACCAAACTTTCTTTGTTAAATCCAAACCTGTTAATCATAATTCTGCATACATTTTATTAACATAGTTGATTCTTGTTCTGCTGTCTGTTGGATGAATCTCTGCTGATGTCTGATTACCCAGATCATTAGTGGCCACACAGTAATAAACTCCTCCATCTGTTACATTGAAGCTGTAAATCTCTCCTTCAGATACTTTCACAGCTCCATCTCTGCTCTTCTTGACCAGGTGAAGCTGCTGACTGGAGGTTTGGCTCTGCTGGAGCAGGTCAGGTTCACCCAGCTGCCTGCTGACACCAAACCTGATGGACTGATGGATACTGAGGTGTCTTTAGGAGCATCTGAAGAAGAATATTAACACAAATCCCTATTATTCATTATAAATAGCTGACTTCCTATAAATGATGATATGTTGACAGGATCCAACAACAAACTCTGATTGTCTTACATGAAACACTGAGAGTCTCTTCTGTCTCTGCTGTCTTGGTGTCTTTTCCTTGGTTCACAGGATATCTGGCAGAGCAGTTGATCTTCTTTCCATCATGTGTGTCTGACAGAGTGAT